AAATTATAGTGCCTTTCACTACTGATGAGATAAAAAAAGTTATTAGGAAGACAATGAACCATGGCAAAGAGCTTGTGCTAATTTTTTTGGGAGAAATTAATAACAAGTATCCCAAAAGCAATAGGCTTAACTTTATAAAGAGAACTTCTTGGATTCTTCCTCAAAGACGCTCCAATAACCAGAGCCCGTACATTTTATACTGATGTTAATAAATCAGGGAAGGCAGGTTACAAATCAGAAGAATTGAGTAAGGTAGAACAAAGTCCTTATGATTCTGTCAAGAAGGCAGAATTATATGCCATTCTTATGGTGCTAAGGGATTTTAAAGAACCTCTTAACGTAGTTACTGACTCACAATATGCTGAAAGAGTTATCTTGCATATTGAAACTGCTGATTAATACCAGATGATATAGAACTGAATTCATTGTTTATCCAGGTACAAGAAATGATCAGGAATAGACTCTGCCCTATGTATATAACACACATCCGATCCCATACGGGTCTGCCAGATCCTCTAGCACAAAGTAATGCAGACATTGATCAATTATTGATTGGAGGCATGATGCAGGCATCTGAATTTCATAAAAAACATCACGTCAATAGCAAAGGCTTGAAGAAAGAGTTCTCTATTACATGGCAGCAAGCTAAGGAGATTGTAAAGAAATGCCCTACTTGCTCTTTCTATAACCAAACACCACTGCCTGCAGGAACTAATCCAAAGGGTACTCAAAGGAATGAAATCTGGTAGATGGATGTGTTCCACTTTGCAGAATTTGGCAAATTGAAATATCTACACCACACCATTGACACGTATTCAGGTTTTCAATGGGCAACTGTTTGAAGCTCAGAAAAAGCTGATTCAGTAATCACTCATTTTTTAGAAGTTATGGCCATCATGGGTATACCTGCACAAATAAAGACGGATCATGGTCCAGCTTATGTCTCTAGGAAAATGAAACAGTTTTTTGCTTATTACAATATTAAGCATGTAACATGTATACCACACAATCCTACAGGTCAAGCAGTTATAGAAACATCAAATCGAACTATAAAGGATATGTTAAACAAACAAAAGGGGGTGGAAAATATCCCCAGAAATAGGTTACACAATGCTTTATTAACCTTGAATTTTCTCAACGCTAAAACTTTGATGGAGTTGAAGATTAGATAGTTGTAGTTACCCTCTACATTATTTAGACTCCTTAGTAAAACTTTTGTTATATGTTTCTTGCTTAATATTGTTTGTTGTTTGTAATTTTATATTTGGTATCTGTTCCTACTATATATGGTTATACTGGGTTTAGTTCAATCTTGTTTAGACAAAGGGGGAGATGATGGGGAACCTCAGCCAATCACATTCTGCTTAGGGTGTGCCCCCCTGGGGCCACACACAACAAATAAAAGATTGAAGTCTCTTTGCTTCCTCTCTTTGCCCCCTGTGTTCTCAGATCGCTGGAACCTTGGTTTTGTAAGTTTTCTTTTCTTCTGTTTATTAAGGATAAATCTTTTATATTAAGCTAGTCTGGTTAATTTTTAACTACCAATCGACCATGCCCCTTCAGGCAGTAGGAAAAGAGAAAGAGGTGGAGGATAGAGAAAAAGGAGGGGAAATACAGAAAGAATTGTGAAAGGAGAAATGTGAGTGACTTTAAAGTGGAAATATATCCAGGATGCCAGCAGAGGACTTGGATCCCGGGCCTCCTGAAGCAGAAATAGGAGGAACTCTGTCAGTTTGAGAGCACCCTAGTCCACACAAGGACTTCTGGGAAATCCAGGAGGACATGACAGACCCTATTTGTAAAGTCAAATAAAAGTAATAATGAAGCTGATGATGATATAAATAATAAACACCAATACAAAATATTATGGAATCTTAACAATAACAGAAGAGACAAATGAGAAGGCAAATAAAAACAAAGAAGAATAGGAAAAATCTAGCAGGGAGAAAAATGTGAGAAAGTTTCTCCTGCCTGGAAATAAGAAAAAAAGTTAAGATATTTACTTCCCTGCTCCCATATCCACCCTTCCTCCATCCTGGTGTGGGAGAATTGTCTGTATTCTGTCAATCATATTTTAATAAAACACTGATTGGCCAGGCAGGAAGTATAGGCGGGAAAACCAGACAGGAAGTAGAGGTGATGCAATGAGAACAGGAGAATTCTGGGAAGCAGGGAGGTTCCTCTGCAGTTCTGCCCAGACCACCGGAGAGGAAAGATGTAAGCTGCCCCGCTGGAAAAGGTACTGAGCCATGTGCTAATGTAGATAAAGATAATGAGGTAACATAAGTTATAAGAGTTAACAAGAAGCCTGACCTAATGGGCCAATCAGTTTATGACCTTATGGAGTCCTGTGTGTGATTTTCCTTGGGAGTGCCGGCTGTGGGGTACCCAGCGGGACAGAAACCCCAACAAGCCGGCCCATCATGTTACACCATCCCACCCATTCCATTCCCCCAAGCTCTCCTGAATCCTCCCCTTCTCCCTTCTCTCTACCCATCTCCCCTTACATCCACCCCCCACACTCCCATGCACCCAAGTTTTGCCTGGCTATCTTGTCTACTTCCAATATCCAGGAGGAAAGGACAATGGCACTGGGTTTTGATTCTACTGCATGGACTGACTTTGTGGGAGCCTGGTTTGTTTGGATGCTCACCTTTATAGACCTGGATGGAGGGAGGAGGACCTTGGACTTCCCACAGGGCAGGGAACCCTGACTGCTCTTTGGACAGGAAGGGAGGGGGAAATAGAAAGGGGGAGGGAATGGGGAGGCGGGAAGGAGGTGGAAATTTTTAATAAATAAATAAATAAATAAAGTTAATTTTTTAACAGGAGGAGAGGGAGAGAAATACAGTAAAAAAAGGGGGGGATGAGGAAAAGGGAAGGGACAGAAGGAACTGTGCTCATAATAGAGCAAGCAGTAGGAAATGGGGAAAGGGATGTAATGATTAAAGGGTAAAGGAAGAATGGGCAGATGATATATGGAAGAAATGACTGAACAAGAAGGAGATAGAAGGGGAGGCAGAAGGGAAGAAAACACAGGTCAAAGACAGGAAAAGGAAAGACAGGAGAAGGAAATAGGCAATAGGAACGATGGGAAGGGTACAGGAAAGAAAAGGGAAGAGAATGTCGATGAGCAAAGGTTCGGTAAGAAAAGAAGAAAAAATAGAAAAAACAAAATCAGGAGAAAAATTCAACCACTGCTGGCCACTGCCATCCAGCTCATGGGAGGCAGGCATCAGTAGGGAAAAGGGAAATTCGTGAGTTCTGAACAGACAGGACCAATGAACAAATGGACCAATGAAGGAAGAAATGAGTGAAGGACATACAAGGGGTGTCACTGGGACAAGGGGGAAAGTGTATAAAGCAGTGAAAATGATTTAAACTGATGATATACACATTAGGACACTGTCCAAGAATCAGATAAGCAAAAAAATCAAAACAAAACAACAAAAACAAAACCAGAAAAAATGTTCTCCTAAAGTCAAATCTTAATTAAGAGTTGAGGAGAATACAGACCAAGAGAATCTATTACATGATCTATCCTGGGAAAAACTGGACCTCACTTTAGAATATGTTTTAATTCTATGCTATACAAGAGACAGTCACTCATAAACACAGCTCTCAGAAACGGTCACATATGATTCCTACAGTCAGGTGCCTATTCCCAAAGAGGCAGCAGACAAAGTAAGAAAACTCTATGAGTTATCACAAATACACACAATAAGGTTTTTAACTCTAAACAGGCATGCATTCTCGGGATGGATCTTTTCCAGGCTGTTTTGCAACATGAATTACAGACAGTAGACCTAATAAGGATAATTCTGTACAGACAGGTTAACATCATCTAAACGTGTAAGAATGCTAATATCTGAAACAGCATTCTTTCATTTCTTCAAAGACACCACTACTGAAAGGAGGAATGGCTATGACCTGGTGCAGGAGACTCAGACCTGTGCTCCAGCCAGCTGTCTGAGAGTCTGAGGAGAGCACATGACAACTGACTACTTCCAAACCCACCCAGTGACGGAACAGTCACAGAGCTGACCTAGGCCACTGCTGAGAACATATTTGATATTTAAAACTCAAAAGATGGGGATGAATTAGGATATGGCTCATGGAAACTTCCTGAATAACCTTGACTAGGATGGAGGCTGTTAAGAGCTAGGCCTGACTGAGGCTTTCCCTGAGTCTCCAACGTATGGAGAAATAACTTATTTTCTTGTTCAAATCCAGGTACATACTATACAGGTAAGAGACATTTTATGTGATATCATAACTGTAAAATATACATATATATGTACATATGTTTCTAAGTATATATACAAACAAATATTTTTTAATTTTAATGATTCACTGCTCTTGTCCTCTGAGGAATCAAAACGAAAGAATAATTCTAGTTCTTAAGCTGCTTCAGTTTCTTCAGTCCCTTCACCCTTATTGTATACAATTTTAATTTTCTCCAGTGTACCCTTATTTGTTTTGGATAATAAAGACTACATTTAGGAGGCTATCAGATTACAGTTCAATCAAAATCATATTATAGGTCTAAGAAATCTTGTGTCTACATAGACAGTTCAACCCCATCAATATTAAACACATTTGACCTTGTTAAGAAATATTTTGTCTTAAAATTCTCAACTATATGTTCTCATGTCTTTAAACTTATTGAAATATTTTCAGGTAACAGAAGGCAGACTTCTTGATTAAAAGTAAAGACTCTTCTAAGTGCTTTAGCAATACACATCACGAACTAGAATACAAAAGCAACAGAAGCACCTGAGGGAAGAGAAAGAGCTCTATAGAATCCCGCTGTCCTATGTAATTGTACTCCCAACCCTTCTGCCTCTTCCTTCTGGCAGTCCTCAGCCTGGCTTCTCTTACTTTTCTCTATGCTATGGCCATACTTACTCCTCTTGCACGTGCTTCTCTTCCTCCTCCTCCTCCTCCTCCTCCTCCTCCTCCTCCTCCTCCTCCTCCTCCTCCTCCTCCTCCTGTAGTCTGGGGTATATATTGAGGATTCGGTTGTCCTACAATGGCAGGTTGTATTCTGCTGACAGGTTCCTGATAGAGAGAGATGACCAGGGCATGAGAATTTAGAGAAGATAGTAAAGTTTGGGATCAGGCGTGCTTACACAAGTTGACTGCTGGTACAAGCAGGTTTATTAGGAAATTCTACATCATTTATACAGTATTTCTAGAGGTAAAAATGAGATATCATCAGCAAAAATTCTCATACAATGATACAAAGTCAGCAGAAATTTGATCACGTAAAGCTGCACAAAGGTAACACAGAGTATTTCAAGTGAGACCCAAGCTGAGTGCACACAGTCCACAAGAATGATAAGCATGGCCTCTCACAAAAGGAAGACCTGGGTTCTCAGGACCTAAGATACCACACTTGTTAGATGCCTGACTCCAGACCACTGCTGGACTTGTCAAGCCTGTACTACTTGTTAGACCAGGAATTAAGTTCCTTACCCGCACATCTGTGACTTTGAGATAGCCGCAGACAAGTCAAGTGCATTAATAAGGTCTGAACAATCAAAAAGAAACAAATATTCAAAAAGATGTGTTGGACCTGAAATGCTGGAGCTCATGGGAAAAGTAGGAGACCGGGGTCAAAAAGAAAATAAGGTGGGCTATACCTCAAGTACCGAAGAATCAGTGCACATCATATACACACATATATACATATACATAATACACTCATACTTGCATATTTACATACATACATACATACATACATGCATACATACATACATAAGTTTGAAGGGACAAGAAAAGGTATAAGATAGCAGCTATAAATAACCACACTCACAAAACAGCTTCTTTGGAATAGAATTTGACACAGTTCTAAAATAAAATTGCACTAAACATACAAACTGAGACTTTGAAACACAACTGAAGCTCTATTTACTCCATTCCACATAAACTGAGAGGAAACCTTTCATGTGGGAATGTCAAAAGACCCTGTATCCCAGAACAATGGAATACTTGAAGAATAGGACGGCTTTAGTCAGCAATATTAGGCCTAACCTGGGAAATCTAACAAGGTCTGCTCTCAAGGACAAATGAATGAAAATAGTTGTTAATTCACACAGGTAGCTAGGAAAGGACCCACACTCTAGAGGCACTCTGTATCCAACATTCAATTAGATGAACTATATATTCCCCTGACCTCCCGACATTTTCAGAGTTCTGCAAAATCCTCCATGTTTGCATGGTCCCCTCTAATCCTTAAGCTCTGGTTTTCATGAAAATATGAGTTCTTTCACTATAATAACAAGGATATGGGCCTGTATTTTCAAGAGGGAAACTTCTGATTCCATGCTTTATTTATTTACAAACCCAGCTAATCATAGGGCATGGGGACAAGACAGTCACAAGTTTCAAGACCAAAGCATACAAAAACCCTGAAAAACACCATTCACCTGCCAAGAACTCATAGAACATCACTTGCATGGCTAAAGAGGCATAGGAAATGAGAAAGGCGTAAAACAAATGAGCCAGCTCCACGTCAAAAGCAAAAGATCCAAACAGAAGAAATGCCGAGGGAGTAGAAGAACAACTCAGAGAGAGTGTGACTGTCAAAGAAGTGAAAACACGGGGTAGACACAACCAGTGTGGACAACTGATGGCGGGAAAGAAGGATAAAAGAGCCTGATCTGATGAGCTCTCCACATACTATGTGTGGATGGACCACATCATTGATCTGCTAACGTGTACAATTCTTATCTTTGAATAACCAACAGCAATGATTCACATATCCATCCAGTTTATCACAGAGGAAGTGCAAGGGCATTGGAATACCCGTTACAGTCCCAGCGCTGTATCTGTTCACAAAGCCCAATATACGGTCTGTACACCTTCACCCCGTGTTCCCCCTGCAGCAGGAGTGGTAGTTGGGGTGAAATAACATTTCTCTTTCTTTCTTTCAGCATCTTCACCTTTTTTAATATACATCACTGGGGATCATTCCCTCCATCTTCTATGAAAAACGAAAGCCCAGAAAATGACATTCATCATCATGATGTGGAAGACTAATAAGAGCAAGATTTTGTTCCCAAAAAGACAGGCACAGGTCTACATTCCTACAGCCAAGAGAAAAAAACAGAATACTTCAGAAGTATCAAGGAGAACTCAACTCATACCCCAGAACTACTCACAGACACATAGCAAACATCATATATGTAATGATGTATAGAAAACAACCATATATAAAACACAGTGGGTTCCAAACGTGAGTAAGAAAAATACAAACAGCTTAAAAATCATGATGGTAACAAGGCCTGCATGTGTACCAGACATGAAGGTGACAAACAGCACCAATAAATATTTCTGGGCCATGCAGCCCAGACCTACAATGGAACTACTATGGAGGGGGCAGCAGGTGAACCATGAGGTCAGGACAGCCCAGCACAGGTGCCAGTTTCTAAGCTACATTCTCTTAGGAATACAAAAATGGCCCTTTTAATCAGGAAGCAGAGGCATGGGGATATATGTGAGTTCGAGGCCACCCTGAACTATGAAGAAACTTCCCCACTGTGAGGACTGATATACACAGAAACCCTGTTCTAAAAAATTAAACAAAAAGTAAAAATAGAAAAAAAAGTGTTCCACAGTGGTCAGAGTGGTAGACTCCTGAAAACAAAGTACTGCAGAGGCACTGGACAGAGTATAAAGGATCTCAGTCCTGCCAAAGACACAATAAGAAAATGTCACATGTTTTAGTTACAGTCTAGGTAATTTCAAAAGATGCACACTCAAAATTAAAATGTAAAACAACTAGGACCTTAACTAAGATAAGCAGACAATAACATCTGGATACTGGAGAAAAATTGTTAATGTATCAAAAAATAAATAAACCCTAAGAGACTGCTGCAAAAAAGATGCATGGTACAAAAACTGACAAAGAGGTTTAATCAGAAATTTATATTGTGGATTCAAAAAACCAACTCTAAGAAGCTGTCCTTGGGAATCTATATGCCTGACGTAAGTAGAAAGGCTTGCATTCCAAGGGACAGAGACATATAAAGGAAACACTAAACTCATTCTCTCACACATGTCTACAACACACACATAGACAGAGAAAGACAGAGAGACAGAGAAGGGGGAAGGAGGGAGGAGGAAGCGAGAGATATAAGGGAGAAGGGAAGGAGGGAGGAAAAGAGAGAAGAAAGAAGTAAGGGATAGAGGGAAGAGACAGATTCAACACAAAACTGAAACAAAAGATTCAATGTTAATTAGTATGGTCTCTCAAGATAATACTACAGTCAAAGGCTATGTGACATATATACACTGAAATACATTAATAGTAGCACTATCCTGTGCTGGACATAAGAATAGAGATAAAAATAATCCTTTACATATTTTTAAGGACATGTTCAACAAGACAGAACAGCAGCCTACAGAATGGGAAAATATATTCTCCAGCCCCACATCAGACAGAGGTCTGATCTCTAAAATATACAAAGAACTCAATTAATTGGTAATCGTAACAACAAAGAATCCAACAAAAAATAGAGTACAAGCATAAACAGAGAACTTTCAAAAGAGGAATCTAAAATGGCTGAAATACTCTTAGATATGCTCAACATCCTTAGTCATCAGAGAAATGCAAACCAAAACAATTCTGAGATTCCATCTTATACCTGTAAGAATGGCCAAGATCAAAAACAATGAGACAACTTACACAGGAGAAGTTGTGGTGTATAGGGAGCACTCCTCCATTGCTGGTGGGAGTGCAATCTGGTACAGACCCTTTGGATATCAGTATGGTGATGTCTCAGAAAATTAGGGAAAAAAACATCCTCAAGATCCAGCAATACCACTTTCTGGCATATAACCAAAGGATGCTTAATCGAGCTACAAGGACATGTGCTCAACTATGTTCATAGCAGCATTGTTTGTCATACCCAGAAAGACAATTATCATATATACTCGCTCATAAGTGGTTTTTAAACATGAATCAAAGAAATTCAGCCTAAAATCACAATCCCAGAGAAGCTAGACAACAATGAGGACCCTAAGAGAAATATACATGGATCTAATCTACATGGAAAGTAGAAAAAGACAAAATCTCCTGAATAAATTGAGAGCATGGAAACCATGGCAGAGAATTGAAGGGGAGAGCAGAGGCAGGGAGGGGGGCAAAGAAAAATGTAGAGCTCAATAAAATCTATTAAAAAAAGAGAGAAAGAAGAAAGTGAGGAAAGTAGGTAAGTATGAGGGAGGGGTGAAAGGAGAAGGGAAAGGTGTCAGAAAGAAAAGAGGCACAGAAGGAAGAAAGGAAGTAGGGAAAGAGAAAGAGGAGGAAGAGAGAGAGAAAAGAGTGGGAAATACGGAAAGAATTGTGAAAAGAGAAATGGTAGTGACGTATTAAAATGGAAATCTAGCCCGGCTGCCAGCACAGGATTGAATCAGATATAGGAGGAACTCTGTGAGTTTGAGAGCACCCTAGTCTACACAAGAACTTCCAGGAATTCCAGGAGAACATGGACAGGCCTATCTGTAAAGGTAAATAAAAGTAATAAAAATGATTATGATGATGAAATTAATAATAATCACCAAAACAAAATATAATGGAAAAATAACTTTGGCCTGAAAGACAAGAAAGAAAAAAAGAGAGAAAGGAAGGATAGAAGGAAGGAAGGAAGGAAGGAAGGAAGGAAGGACAGAAGGAAAGAGAAAAGAAAAAAAGGAAAGGAAAAATTTAGAAGGGAAAAATGTGAGAAAAGTTATCCTGCCTTGAAATGGGCAAACGGTTTAAATTGCTTTTAATGGGAGGAGAAAACTACAATGGAAAATGGGGGAAAGAGGAAAAGAGGAAGGCACATAATAAAGCAAGCAATAGAAAACAGGGAAAGGGATGTAATAATTAAAGGGCAAAGAAAGAACGGGCAGATGAAGAGGCATACAGGGAGGAAATGCAGGTGAAAAGAAAGGTGGCAGAGAAGGAAATAGGCAACAAGAAAGGATGAGAAAGGGTACAGAAGAAGGAAGGAAGAGAAGAGAATGTGAATGAGCAAAGGTTAAGTAAGAAAAGGAGAAAGACACAGAAAATACAAAATCAGGAGAAAAATTACACCACTGCTGACCAATGCCATCCAGTTCATGAGAGGCAGGCATCAGTATGGAAAAGGGAAATGAATGAGTTCTGGACAGACAGGAACAATGAACAAATGAACCACTGAATGAAGAGACAAGTGAAGGACATACAAGGGGTGTCACTGGGACAAGGGGGATCAGAAAGTGTATAAAGCAGTGAAAATGACTGAAACTCATGATATACACATTAGGACACGGTCCAAGAATCAGATATGCAAAAAATCACTGACAAAAAAACTTTCCTAAAGGCAAACCTTAATATCCTGACAGCATTAAGACTTGACAAGAATATGAACCAACAGAATCTTCTACATGTTCTATCCTGAGAGAAATTGAACCTCACATTAGAATACATTTTAACCCTGTGCTATACAAAAGACAGTCACTCATAAATACAGCTCTCAGAAACAGTCACATATGATTTCTACAGTCAGGTGCCTATGTCACAGCAACAGCAGAAAAAATGACAAAAAACTCTATGAGTTATCACAAATACCCACAAAAGGGTTCATAATCTAAGTAGACATGCATTTTCAGGATGGATCTTTTTTGCCTGTTTTACAACGTGAATAAATTACAGACAGAAGACCAAATAAGGATAATTCTGTACAGACAGGTTAACATCATCTAAACATGTAAGAATGCTAATATCTGAAGCAGCATTCTTTCATTTCATCAAAGACGCCACTACTGAAAGGAGGAATGGCTATGACCTGGTGCAGGAGACTCAGGCCTGTGCTCCAGCCAGCTGTCTGAGAGTCTGAGGAGAGCACATGACAACTGACTACTTCCAAACCCACGCAGTGACAGAACAGTCACAGAGCTGACCAAGGCTACTTCTGAGAACATATTTCAAGCATAAAAAAACAAAAGATGGGTAATAATTAGAATTTTAATCATGGAAATATCCTGAATAGCCTTGACTAGGTTGGAGGTTGTTAAGAGCTAGGCGTGTCTGGGGCTTTAACTGAGGTTGTGATTATGGAGAAATAACTTACTTTCTGGGCCAAATTCTGGAACATACAATACAAGTAAGAAACATTTTACGTGATTTAATAACTGTAATATATATATATATATATATATATACATATATATGTACACATGTTTGTAAGTATACATACACACATTTTTTTTTAATTTTAATGTTTCAGTCCTCTAAGGCATCATGAAGAAAAAATAATTTGACATCTTAAGCTGCTTGCTTTTCTTCAGTCCCTTCTCTCCATCTTGTTTAGAATTTTAAAGTTTTTCCTGTGCACCCCTGTGTGTTTTGGATTAGACTGAACACATTTATGAGGGTATCACACTACATTCAAATCATATACATTCAATGGGTCTAAACAATCTTGTGCTTAGACCCATCAAAATGAAACAAATTTGACCCTGTTCAGAAATATTTTGCCTTGAAACTCTCAACTATAGGTTCTCATGTCTTTAAATTTTCAGGTAACCAAAGGCAGACTTCTTGATTGAAAGTAAAGACTCTTTCTAAGGGCTTTAGCAATACACGTCACAAACTAGAATACAAAAGCAACAGAAGCACCTGAGGGAAGAGAAAGAGCTCTATAGAATCCCGCTGTCCTATGCTATTGTACTCCCAACCCTTCTGCCTCTTCCTTCAGGCAGTCCCTCAGCCTGGCTTCTCTTACTTTTCTCTATGCTATGGCCATACTTACTCCTCCTGCACTTGCATATGCTCCTCCTCCTCCTGTAGTCTGGGATATATATTGAGGAATCGGTTGTCCTACACTGGCAGGTTGTATTCTGCTGACAGGTTCCTGAGAGAGAGAAATGACCAGGGGATGAGAAGTTAGAGAAGATAGTAAAGTTTGGGATCAGGCATGCTTACACAAGCTTACTGCTGGTTTATTAGGAAATTCTAACCCTATATACAGTTCTCCTAAAGGAATAATGAGATACTAACAGTAATAATTCTCATACAAGGGGACAAAGTCAGCAGAAAGTTGATCAAGTAATGATACACAAAGGTAACAAAAAGTATTGCAACTGAGACCCAAGCTGAGTGCACAGAGGCCATAGGAATGATGAGCATGGTCTCTCAAAATGGGAAGACCTGGGTTCTCAGGACCCAAGGACTTTGCACCTGTTAGGACCTAACTGTACGTCTCTGCTGGCCTTGTCAAGAGTGTGCCTGGTTTTAGACCAAGAACTAAGTTCCTTCTCCACACTTCTGTATCTCAGAGAAAGCCACAGACAAGTCAGTACAACAACAGGGTACTTCTTTTATCTGAAGAATGATAAAAGAAAGAAAGAAATTAGAAATACTCATAAAAATGTTTTGCGCCTGAAATCTTGGAGATCAAGGGACAAAAGAAGAGGAAACCATGGTCAGAAGAAGATCAGGTTTCCTTATTTCTCAAGAACTGAGAAATTAATGCAGGGATGAGTTTATATGTATACATAAACATAAACCTACACACACACACACACATACATATGTCCCTACTTACATACCTACTTGCATTCATGTATAAGTTTAAAGTACCCAGAAAAGGCATAAAATAGAAGTTATAATTGACCACACTTTCAAATTAGCCTATTTGGAGTAGAATTTGACACAGGTCTAAGACAAAATGGAACTGAAAATACAACCTGAGACTTTGAAACACAGCTGCAGCTGTGTTTACTCCATTACACATAAATTAAAGGAAACCTTTCATGTGGGAATATCAAAGGACCCTGTATCCCAGAAATATGGAATAGTGGAGGAGGAAGATGGCTTTAGTCCAGCAATGTAAGGCCTAGCCCGGGAAAACTAAAGAGACCTGTTCTCGATGATAAAGCAAAAGACATAGTTTTCAATTCACACAGGTAGTTAGGAAGAGACCAGCACTCTAGAGGCACTCCGGATCCAAAAATCAATCAGCTGGACTATACATTCCCCTGATCTCTGGAGCATTTTCATAGAGTTCTGCAAAGTCCTCCGTGTTTGCATGGTCTAATCCTTAAGCTCTGGCTTTCAGGGAAATCTGAGTTCTTTCACTATAATAACGGGGATATGGGCCTGTATTTTCAAGAGGGAAACTCCTGATTCCATGCTTTATTTATTTACAAAAACGGTCAATCAGAAGGCATGGGGAACAGACAGTCACAAGTTTCAAGAGCAAAGCATACAAAAACCCTGACAAACATCACTCACCTGCCAAGAATTCATAGACTGATGCACAGAAGACAGAAAAACAGAAGCAGCAACTCGGGTGGTTATTGAGGAAAAAGTACAGATGTTTGCAGAACAAGGCATCAGAATAGAGGCAAGTGAGCAGTATCACAAGCATAATTCTTTACAACATCACTTACATGGCCAAAGAGTCTTAGGAAATGAGAAAGTCCTAAAATAAATGAGCCAAATCCCTGTCAAATTCACAAAACACAGACAGAACAAACACCGAGAGAGTAGAAGCACAGCTCAGACAGAGTGCGAGTGTCAAAGAAATGAAAACACAGTGTAGACACGACCAGTGTGGACAGCTGATGGCTGGAAAATTAGCACAGCTGAGCCTGATCTGATGAGCTCTCCACATACTACATGTGTATGCACCACATGATAGATCTGCTAACCTGTACAACTCATATCTTTGAATAACCAACAAGACTGATTCACACATCCATCCAGTTTATCACAGAGGAAGTGTAAGGGCCATGGAATACCCATTACTGTCCCAGGGCTGTATCTGTTCACAGAGCCCAATATACTGTCTGTACACCTTTACCCAACGTTCCCCCTGCAGCAGGAGTGTTTCTTGGAATGGAATAATATTTTCTTTCAATGGACTGTCTCCTTAATCTAATTTTTCTTTCAGCATCTTCATGTATTCTTAACATGCATCAGTGGGGATCATTTCCTCCATCTTCTACAGACAACAAAAGCCCAGAAAATGACATTTTCCGCCATGTTGTGGAGGAATAATAAAAGCAAGGTTGGTTCCCAAAAAGAAAAGAACGAGTCCAGGTTCCTACATTAGAGAGACAAAAACAGAATACTTCAGAAGTGTCAAGACCTCATCTCATAGTCCAGAACCACACACAGACAGCGAACATTTTATTTGTAATGACTTATAGAAAAAAAACAATATAAAATACATACTGAGTTCCAAACATGTGTAATAACAGCACAAACCACTTAACAAAACATGATGGGAACAAGGCCTGCATGTGTACAAAACGTGAAGGTGAAAAACAGCATGAAAAAATACCTCTGGGTCATGCAGCCCAGACCTACAATGGAACTACTATGGAGGAGGCAGTAGGTGGACTTGAACTCATTACAGTCCAGCACAGGTGCCAGTTTCTAAGTTACATTCTCTTAGGAATACAAGAATGGCCCTTTTAATCAACATTCAGGAGGCAAAAGCATGAGGATATATGTGAGTTCAAGGCCACCCTGAACTATGAAGAAACTTGCCCACTGCGAGGACTGATATACACAGAAACCCTGTTCTAAAAAATTAAACAAAAAGTAAAAATAGAAAAAAAGTGTTCCATAGTGGCCAGAGTGGTAGACTCCTGAAATCAACGTATTGCAGAGGCACTGGACAGAGTATAAAGACTCTCAGTCCTGCCAAAGACACAATAAGAAAATGTCACATGTTTTAGATACAGAGCATTTTAAAGCCTGGCCTAGGTAATTTGAAAAGACACAGATTCAAAATTTGAATATTAAAAAATAAAACCTTAATTAAGAGAAGCTTGCAAGAAATTGTAAATGTACACAAGAAAAAACATCAAGGGTAGAACAACTGTAACTGTATACTACAAAAAAATGAAGGGGTCATATAAAAAAAGATGCATGGTACAAAAACAGGCATAGGTTCAATTATATACTTATATTGTGGATTCAAAGAACCAGATCAAGGAAGTTGTCCTTGGGATTCTATATGCCTCCAATAAGTAGAAAGGCTTGCATTCCAAGGGATGCAGACATATAAAGGAAACACTGAACTCATATTCTCACACATGTATATAAGAAAAACCACACATATATACACAGAGAAAAACAGAGAGACAGAAAAAGACAGAAAGTAAGAGGAGAAGGGAGGCATGGAGGAAGGAATGGATGGAGAGTCAGATTCAACCCAAAACTGAAACAAGAAATTCAAAGTTAATGAGGATGGTCCCACAAGATAATACCACAGTCAAAGGCTATGTGACAGCTATACAATGAAATACATTAATAGTAGCACTATCCAGTGCTGAAGATAATAGCTGAGATGAAAATAATCATTAAGAAATTGTTAAAAGTAGAAAGAGATAGACTATTAACCTGATCCTCCCATGATCATCAATTGCAACAGGTATATACTCTCTGCTATAATATTTCTACCAGAAAAGTATACCCTTAAATACAGCAATATAGATCTCATCAAAAGGATCTTATAAGCTACTAGTCCCCCTCTGCCCTCAAACCCTCCTAAAGCCCACAACCTCAAAGGAACTCTGAAATACAGGGTGAAAATAAACAAAGATGAACATGAGGTGAGTTACCACCTACATGGCAGGGTACCCCATACTCTAGACACTCCATACTAGGGCAAATCACTGGTCCCAGTCTCCCACCTCCCTCACCTTATCTAGTCAGCCAGCAGGGAATATTCCTTCAAGTAGGCTGCTGTAACACAACCATCCCATCAATTGGACCCTGTAAGCAACAAGTCTCAATCTGTCCACAAACCCTCCTATCCCCAGAAAAGAAAGTAGGAAATAGCCTTCAAAACTGGGCAAGGAAACCCCTTCCTAACTATAACACAAGTAGCAGAGACACTGAGAGCAAAAATAATTAAATGGGACCTCCTGAAACTGAGAAACTTCTGTAAAGCAAATGACAGTCAATAAGACAAAAAGGCAGGTTAATGAATGGGAAAGATCTTCAACAGTCCCACATCAAACAGAGGATTTATAAACAAAATATACAAAGAACTCAAAAAATTAGACACAAAAATTCCAAATAATCCACTTAAAAAAATACAGTAAAGATCTAAACAGAGAACTCTCAACAGAAGAATTTTAAATGAAAGAAAGACACTTAAGTAACGTTAAGCATCCTTAGCCATCAGGGAAATGCAAATCAAAATGACTCTGAGATACCATCTTATACCTCTGAGAATGCCTAACATGAAAAACACCAATGATATCTTATTCTAGAGAGGATGTGCAGTAAAAGAAGCACTCCTCCATTGTTGGTGGGAATGCAAACTTGTACAACCACTCTAGAAATCAGTATGGTGGTTTCTAAGAAAATTGGGAACCAAGTCCAGCAATATCACTTTTGGGCATATACCCAAAGGATGCTCAACCATATTACAAGGACATTAATTTGTTCAACAATGTTGATATAAGCATTATTTTTCGTAGCCAGAAACTAGAAAGAACCTAGATAGACCCCAACTGAAAAATGGATGAAGAAAATCTGGTACATTTACAGAATGGAGTACTACTCAGCCATTAAAAAAATGATCTCTTCAAATATGCATGTAAATGAATGGAACTTAAAAAAAAAACAATCCTGAGACAGATAACCCAGACCCTAAAGGTGAACATGGTACATACTCACTCATAGGTGGATACTGGCTGTAAAGAATAGAAAAACTAGCATATACTACACATCTCTAGAGAAGTTAAGAAACAAGGTGAACCCTAATACAAACATATATAGACCCCCTAAGAAGGGGAAATAGACAAAATCTCCTAACATAACAGGAAGAATGGGAATGCGATGAAAAGCAAAAGTAGAGGGAAGGAAAGAATGGGAATGGTGAGGAAA